TCACCTCCTCCTCCTCCTCCCTCGTCGTGCTCGTCCTTGCCCTCTCGTCCTCGTCCTCGTGTCCTCGTCCTCGTCCTGCGAACCCCCCCCCGTCACGAACTCCGAGGGCGCCTCGGCGACGATGCAAATGCGCCCGGTGAGCCCGTCCGGGGTCACGTAGGGCGGCCTGCGGAGCTGGTCGTCCGCCGCGAGCCTGCCGATCACACGACCTTTGGGGGGTGGGGCAACCTCCTATACTCGTTCCCCATCCCCTTCTTTCGTTATTGTTCCTCCTTCCACCTCGTCTTCTTCCTCGTCGTCGTCGTCCTCCTCCTCCTTCTCACCCTCCTCCTGCTCTTCATCCTCCTTCCCCCTCCTCCCTCCTCCCTCCTCCCTCCTTTCCGTCCTCCACCTCCTGATCCTCCTCCGCCCTCTGTTCGCCCTCTTCCTCTTGCATTCCTTTATAAATAACCCATCCCTGTCGCACTCCTGGACGTGTCGGTAAGGCGGGCCGGGCGTTTTCCATGATAGTTACTCAACGCTGATCCTGAGGCTTTGAACTTTGAGCAGCTTCAACGATAGACGGTCGGTGGTTTTCAACATGCGGCTAGACCCTTAGCGTCGCGCACATACATCTTGAATGTTGCAGCAGGTTCATGTATGGAGGGGCGGCCTGTTTTTACAATGTGGCTCTCGACTGTACGCCTCGCGTGGGTGTCTGAAACGTGTGCAACAGCATCAAAGATGGAGGGTGTTTTTTTCAAAATGTGGCTCTCGACTTTTGCACCGTCGCCTTAAAAGTGCGACGTGATCAAGGATCGTATGGCCAAAGTCGCAGGAATGGTGTTCTGGCGCGGCTTCGGGGCTTGCAGGACGCACCACTCACGCTGGCCTGCGGCGCTGAAATCCCAGGCGTAGGGTTCAGACATGATTCCGGGTTGTCAAACGTTTATTCCCTCCTGGCGCTGAAATCCCAAGAACAACATTTTGGCACGACTTAAAAATCTCAAATGGTTGTCTTCCAATGGGGGACCCCCCGCACTGAAAATCTATTACTGCGGGAGGGAAAATTGCTACATCGTTGGTGCGTCTTGGGTTACACTCTTCCTCCTCGTCCTCCTCCGCCTCCGCCTCCTCTTCTTCCTCCTCCTCATCATCATCATCTTCCTCGTCCTCTTACATGGAATCGGTCGGGTATCCACTGGGACTCGGCACGCTGGCCAGTGGTCCCAAGCATGCCACGGGAGGGGGGCGTGCCCATCGTGTGGCCTTTTCTCAACACCCAGGCGGGTGGCGACTGCCCGCTTGGGAACAGGCGGCCAGCCCCCCCCCCCCCCCGAAAACGACAAGCATGACGGGGGAAAAACTGGAGGGGAGAGCAAGAGGGCAGGAGAGAGCCAGAAGGCGGAGGAGAGGTCGTTTGTCCACGACAGAAAGGGGGCAAGAGGAGAGTGGGCACGCGCTCGCTCTAGGCCGTCGCGGTTCCACGACAACAATGCGAGGGGCCAGGGGGAGCCCCCCCCCTTCATCCAACTGTTGGCCGCGGCTGAGCAATCCCCCAGACAACTCTATATATCAAATAAGGCGTTTGGACAGCGGCAGCGTCACGTATTGGCAATGGGAGATTTACCACGGGCTGGCGCATATGACTGAACTTCGTGCGTTAGCCCTGACGCCCACTTATGATTTGCAGCAATAAATCCCGATCGGTAAATTTTGTGGTAGGACCACCTGCCGTCAAATTGCGGGTGTCACGCCAATGTGCGTTGTCTGGAATGTCGAGCTCCAAGAACTCCCTGGTCCAGATTATATGACCAAGCAATGTTCTCTCGGCAAGTGTTTTCAGGTCCCTGGTGGTGAGAGACTGGAGCACGGAGCCAGCGTCGATCGTGAGTGATACTTTGATGCAAGGCCCACATGGTTTACGAAGTTGTTTGAAACCAGATGTGGTCAGAGAGTCCTTGATGATTGTAGTGTCACTACGGTAAGGAACCAGTCGTCCGTGCTGCGGGCTGCAACTAATGCTCCGGCAGCATAGTTGGATCGAGCCTGGAAGCGATGGGGTTTACGTAGGCCCTCGATGCAATGGGTGACTTTTTCCTTTTTGCTCGTGATTCCACGGCGAAGAAGGTTGCGCCCCCGAAATCCATCGCCTGTTGTTGCATTGTTTCTTGTCCGGTGAGCTTGCGATCGCCCTAGCCGCTGCATCGATCAAACATGCCATCAGGAATCATGGTTCGATAGGCGGCACCAGGGAATTGTAATACTTTGCGCGTAAGTGCATTGAGTCGTCTCACCTGGAGATTGGTCGGCCGTTGAATGCGTTGCAATGAAGCAGTGCGTACTACGACCCAGAATTTAATCATTGCCGGCTAGGCGAGTTCCCCTTGCAGATTGACAAACACGTCGCCCGCAATCTTACTCGCCGGCGCTTCTGGCCAAGCTCCGACGAGTTCGGGGCGCGCATTCGCATGCCAAAAAATGACACGTTCGCCTTGGTCCTTGATCTCGTCTCCGTTGTCGGCCCTGGTGCGCCTGACTGCGCCCCTTTTGTACGCGAATGTGTAAAAATTGCCTGTGCCAAACACTTGTTCTACTCTGCGCACATCGGGGCGAGCGTGTTCCTCCTTACCGCGCATGTTGACGTCGTCCACGCGTTCTGCAGCAAGCAGGTCAGGTGCCGCCTCAAATCCTGGATCGCATGACACTGATCCAAGGCAGATATTCTCGGTCTTCTGTCTGGGCTTCAGGGAGAAGGCTCGCGGCGTGTCTTTGTTCCCAATGCCCAGCTTCCGGCGCTCAAAGCAGCGCCGGGCCTCGCCATAGTCGTCAAAACCAGGCGGCGCACGTAGAAACGATGCGCTCCCAGGAATTAGCAGTGCGAAACGCACTGTGCAATCCTGCCCCCCCGGGCCCCCCCGTGGCCTCGGCGAGTTCCTTTTGCGCCAGTTGGAACTCGTCCTCGCCCTGGCCGCGCCCAGGCGTGCCCGGGCCCGATTTGCGCGGCAAGCAACCTCACTCGTCACCAGTCGCTGCGGGGCGTGTCGGGCCGTTCCAGGAAACGTCTCCACCGAGAAGGCACCCTGAATCCATGGTGCCTCTCAACGCAAGACGTAGTTGGAGGATCTATCGGCCTGGCTGGCGCCTTTCTTGGTGGATATCCATGCGTGGACATAACGCGACGTCATTTCGCAGTGGGATCTGGGACTTCGAGCGTCCTTCTTTCGCGAAGCATATGTTATCTAGCAGTGTCTGAAGTTCGGCTGAAAGAGCGATTGATCCTTGTTTCAAATGAATTGGGACCTCTTGTTTCGTCAGTCGGTCATCCACTCTCGCGACCGCGGCCCTCTTGATCTCCGCCGAAAAATCTACTCGCATGGTTGCCACGCCATCGGCGCGCATAGCCGTCTACTGCGATCCGTCCAGTATACCTTGGCCATGTCGCTGGCGAAGCAGACTTCGGTGCATTCGTCATGGCCGCCGGCGTCGAAGTCGTAGTCGTCGTCAGCGAGGTCGCTCGGCGACGCGTTGATAGGCGTGGTGCGATCCCCGGACCGTTGGTGGGAAGACAGCATGTCGTGTTGGATGTGTTCACCTAGGTTGGTTGCGTCCACCCGGAACGTGCAGCTATGTGTTCCGAGTGGCCCCAGTGCGGCGTTGGCCGGGGTGAGGGGCACATGGGCAATGTGAAGACACATGTTCTTTTTCGGTCAACGGGTGCGCTTTGATGTACTGGCGGTCGGAATTGACCAGTTCTTGATGCCAGTCGTGCATCAGCATCGCGCCCCCCTCCTTCTCCTCGCTGTCTCCTCCTTCGGTTGCAGGGGGGCCAGAGTCTCTCTCGGGGCCTATGGGGATCTCAGGGAGGTTCGTGTTTCCACGTATATCACCAACCCGGGGGCCGTCGGCGAAGTCGGGGGACCTCGAGGGCTCTCGTTGAAGGAGTGCGTTGGTCTGGATGGCATCAAGCACTGAATCAGTCGAGCAGAGGTGCTGCCTGTAATGACTGGGATGCTAAGCGCAGTGTTCGCTGACTCGTAAAAGCGGAAGCCAGGCTGGACATCGCTATCGTAACATATCAACGCAATGCGATCAGCACCTGCATAATGCGGCAGGGCGTGAACCCTTCTGGCCAACCTGATAGCACTGACACTGTGGATACTCAAGTGAGTTCAGACGATATATTGGATTGCAACCTGACGCTTTAAGTCCATCTACTTCCACCTGATAACTGGCATACCTTCTTGCGGTCACTTCCCCGCTGGGTGCGCAGAGATGTAGGACGCGATGGTGCGCGTTGCCATGTTGCCCGTGCTGAGTTCTTGCGCCATGAACACATCAGCGAAGAGGGTCAATCTCGCACCAGGAACCTGAGCCAATCTCTCTTTCCAGATTTGGCCACAAGAAGGCCACGTGCCGCAGTGACTTCACTGACCCTGCAAAGGTCATTCCAGCCTCCATGGCCGTCTTTACTTGTAGTGGGTCGGTGGTAGTCAATGATCGCGCCCCCATCTCGCAGTTCTTTTAGCATGCGAGGGCTCTGATACCTTAGCCACCGCAGTGGCATGGGCGATTGCCTCCGATGCACTTTCCTGAATACGTCGCTCTCTTTTCTGGCCAGTCGATCAGGAAACGCCGAGGCCGGGAGATCAAAGTCTGTCAGCATACCTGGCTGGCGCCAATTATAAACGCTGTATGGGGAGAGACCATCGTAGAAAGTGAGCGCAGTGCATACAAATAAAGCTTCAGCCAGAAGCCACTGGACAACGAACGGGACATCCTGCCTCTCGAGATCTTTTCCATGGCATGAATGACCCCATCGGAGCATCCCGTTTCGGTCTTCGATCGCGTCGGCGTGCTGGCCTGAAACACGGACGCGGAGGTTTGCTCCGTGAGCTTTTAGCCGGCCTTCAGTTTCATCTTTGTTCAGCCCACCCTCGCCGTCATAATCGAATAGGATGGCTGCGCGGTTAAGTTTGACCCGACAGTTGTACTGGGCATCCATCCAGTGGGGGTCTTTTTTTCTTGTTGGGAGACTCACATCCGCAAGCGTATCTGATGAACCTATCGAAACTGTGCAAGGCGACGTGCTTCTTGTAAAAGAACAAGTCGCTGTCGACTTCCTCATTGAAACGGCCAGGCGGGCTTTTTTCTTGGCAGGGTGGGAGTGCTGGGTCGTTCTCAGGCCTGGCACTCTCGACTAGCGTCAACTATCGGCTTTGTCATGTTGACTCTGGTGTCGTCCAGGCCTACTCGCTGTAGAATATTGAATATTGTGCATGTTCGGCTCCATTGCGCGAACCACTCGAAGGTGGAGCTTCCTCAAAACCTTGTTGACGATGGCCGGTCCCGCCCTCCAGAGTGCCTTGAAATTGGACTGGTTACTGAATCGGGACCAGTCTGGCAGCGCGCTCGGGCTGGCGCCATCTGCCAGCCAGACGGGATACAGCGCGAGAGCGGAGTGGAGCCCTGCGGGCGACACGGTGAGCTACTGGCTGAGGAGGGAGAGGTGCTGCCTCTCCCACGTCAATCGCGTTTCCGCGCTTGTCCATGTCACCCGTCGGGTCATCGCTAGCACACGGCCGTGGTGGTCTAGGACGTGCTCCCGACGGTCCAGATGACGAGGAAGCCTGTCCGCCGCCCGGCTCGATGGACTCCGGGGGGCCCCCGCGCCCCGTAGGTCCAAGTGGCACAAGGGCATCATCGCCAGTAAGCCAGCTGAACTGTTCAGCGACAAAACATTCGTACTTTTTGTAGCTGTACCCCTTCTCTCGCTGATCACGGTGTTTCTTGCGTGCCTTGCGTTTCCAATGGACAGACGCTGCGTCGAAGTATCTGCGCGCGTGGGGGTCTCGGGCGCGCGATGGGCCGTCGGCTGGGAAGTTCTGAGCTCGCCCAAGACGTCCGCGACCTTCAGGCGGGGCCCTGCCGAGCGTTGGTGGATTCGCGGTTCGCGTCGCCTGATCGGGGCCTGCAGGGCCCGCGGCGGTGGCAAAGGGAGCGCGCGTGTCAGAGATGGCATGAGTGTTCGAGCCTCCACGAACGTCTGTGCCACTGTCCAAGAGAAGGTGGCGCGCTCCGTGCTGTCGCTTTTCAGGCGCTAGTCGGGGTCGAAATGGCCACGGGGGATCGCGAGGTGGCCACTTGGCAGTTCCATTATAAGCAGAATCTTTGCTGGTCGATCTAGTTTGATGGGATAGCCCAAACTCCCCGGGAGTAAGCCTTTGTCCCTTACGTATCATGAGGAGTGCATCATTACCCTGCATGGGCGCCTTGCCCAAAATGGCGGGCAACTCGGGGTCCGCGGCGACGTTCGCCAAAGAGGTATCCCTTCGACTGCGGCCTTAGTATTTGACCGCATTAAGCACGTTGGCGACGCCGGCGCCGACGCCCAACTCCGATCAAATTTAAGCGGTTCGCCCGCCTTGAAAGAGTGGTGGCCAGGCTATCGTTTGCAACTGCCCCATGGACTCCAACGTCGCATTTCCAATGGAGTTGATACGTGGTCCGAGGCCCACTGGCGCAGATGGTCAGCCATTGGGCAAACTTGCCCGAGAGGTGGTATTCCACGACTCCCAGGAGAGCCCCCGCCCCCACCCGCACTGTTGACTATACTTTCATCTAGCGATCAGTGGGATAGGTCAGGATCCCGCGCACTGGCCCACGAATTGGTCCTAAGTGTACACCGCCCGCGGTAGACCACCATCGGGTTGTGCACTGGTCGGCGTGGCGTAAGGTTCTGCTGGTGGTGTAATAGCTGGTGCAGTAGCTGACTGTCCTGCTTGTCGTTGTTGTTGCTGCTGCTCCTCTCGTCGTTGTCGCAGTGCCGCAAACGGGCCAGCGACGTCCTCCATAGGAGAAGCGACTGGGAACAGGAAGCAAGCCTTAACATGTCCAGGTGCTCGGCATTGGACAGTCAAGAGGAACACCTCTCATCCAGCTTGTCATTCTCCTGTGCCAGCAACTTTCGTGACAGGAAGATTGCACCTCTCGCCTCAGCGCAGCGCACATTCGTCTTCAAATATTGCAGCGGATCCAAGCCTGGAGGGCGGCTGGCTGCTGGTTATCAACATGTGGGGCTCGCCTGAGCGCCACGCGCGTTCGTCTTACACGTTTGCAAAAGTACCAAGGAGTCGAAGTTTCAAAGCCGCAGGAATGGATTCCTGGCACGATTTAGGACTGTCAGAACGCAGCTGTCACGCTGATTCGCGGTGTTGAGGCCCCAGGACACGAGATTTCTCGCACGATTCAGAACTGCCAGGACGCAAGAGTCAACAGTCATGGTAATTCCAAGCGTTGAGGTCCCCGGAGTAGTGCTTTATAACGGTTTGTTGTTTTCAGAAGGTTGCCTTCCATTTGGGCATTTCCCACTTCTCGCAATATAAACAACTTATTGCAGAGGCTTATGTAAAGGGAACTGGGAGGGAGGGTGTGTTGCAACATCGTTGGTGAGTCTTGGGTTTACACTGGTCCTCTTCCTCCTCCTGCTTGTCCTCACACTGATCCTCCTCCTTGCCTCTCAGCCCACCATCCCTGTTCATCCCTCCACCCCCATCATCTGCCTCGTCCTCCCCAGTCTTCCTTATCCCCAAAGAGGTTGGAGAATGAGGAGGAGGAGGAGGAAACAGAGGACAGGGAAGCAGGTGAGGAGGAGAGGGCGAAGGAGGGTTGAGGGAGGAGGAGGGAGGGGAAGGAAGAGGAGGAGGAAAGGGAAGAACAAGAGGTGGAGGAGGAGGGCAGCCGGTCCCACCTGGGACCAGGACGGCCGCACGCCCGCTCCCAGACGGGCCGAGAACGCGACCAAAGCCGATACTGGGTCCTGGGGGGCCGGCCTTTCCAGCCAGGGTAGGGGCATGCGGATCGGTAGCTCCTCCTGATCCTCATCATCCTAGAGTCCTTGTCCTCATCCTCGCTTCTCTCTGCTCATCCTGCCCCTCCTCCGCCTCGATGCCTCCTCATCCTCCTCGCGTTCTTCTGCCGCTGCTCCTCCTCCAGCTCCGCCATCCCGTTCTGTCCCCGTCTTCCTCCTTGTCCTCATTGTCCTCCTCCTCCTCATCATCCTCCTCCTCCTTCTCCTACTCCTCCTCCTCGTCCTCCTGCTCATCCTCTTCCTCCCCTCCTTTCATTCCCTTCGCCTCCGCATTCCCCTTACACCCCCTCCTCCCATTCCCGCCCTGTTCTACTAGCCCCCCTGCCTCCTATCTGCTCGCAGGCATCATCTCGCCCGCCATCTTCTCCCCGTGCTCCTGCTGCTCCATCCTCCTCCTGCTCATTCTGCTCCTCCTAAACCTCTTGGTCAGAACCGTCCTCCCTCCTTCTCCTCCTCCTCCTCCTCCTCTTTCTCCTCCTCCTCCTCCTCCTCCTCCTCCTCTTGCTCGTCTCACTCCAATTGGCTTCCCCGGATGCCCGTGAGCAGGGGACTCTCGGCGCACTTGTCCAGGTCCTGGCCCCCGGTCATCTTCTCCACACGCTGCTTGTCTGTGACGGCGAGATCAGCGACCCAGCAAAAGGAATGAGAAGGAAGAGGAGTGAGAGGAGGAGGGAGGAGGACGAGGAGGAGGAGGAGGATTGGAGGGGGAGGAGGCCAGGATGCGGGAGAAGGAGGAGGAGAAGAGAGGGAAGATGGCGAAGAGCAGGAGAGGGAGGAGAAGTGAGGGAGGAGAAGAGAGGGAGGAGAAGCTAGATGCGCTCGCGCCTCATCTGGCAGCCTATCCTTCCCTCCCATCCCTACCCATGGCGCTGATGTTTCTCTATCCGCGGACGCGTGGCATAGCCGACCTACGACTCACACAGAAAGACCATTTAGTGTCATGCGCAATCGGGATAAAAGGGAAGCTGCGTGCACAAGAGGGGGTGGCGGGTGAGCTGGAGGATGAGCGGGAGGAAGCGGATGAGGACGCACAGCAGCAGCCGGAACTAAAGCGGAGGGATCGGGAGGGAAAGAAGGACCAGGGGAAGGCGGAAGAGAGAAATGAGAAGAGCGACAACGATGAATAAAGACTCGGATTCAGAAAAGTGGCCCGCGGCGTGACGAGACGAACAGCAGCAACAGGAACTGGAGTGGAAGGAGCGGGAGTAACAGGAAGACCAGGTGACGGCGGAGGAGGGGGAATGAAGGGGGGACCACAATGAACCACGACTCGAATCCAGAAGTGGCTCGCGCTGGGGCGAGAGCGCGTTTCTGAACGACGGGAGCAACGCGCCGATCCGAAAATGAGGCCCACTCTCCACCAGGAGCACCAATTTGAAACTCTGGAATAAACTGGACTGTAACAAAAGCAATACGAACAATGAATATTTGAAACTCTGTGTAACAAAAAACAATACGTGGATGGGGCAGGAGATCTTCCAGACAACTTCGGGGGAGAAGGGGGAGTATTATTCATACTGTTCAATTGTTGAAGAGGACGACGATCGGATGATGAGGAGGGTGAGGATGAGGAGAAGGAGAAGTGGGGAAGGACGGGGAGGAGGAGGAGGAGCGCCTTCTCGGTGAGGACGACGCCGGGCCACACCGAGAGGCAATCCACGCCCTGGGGGCCCAGCTCCACCTAGGGGAGCGGGAGAAAGGAAGGGCACGGGGAAGGCGGCCTCACCTCACCCCCGCGCCTCTTCCTTTCCTACGCGCAATCCAAGAGGCGAGAACCCGGAACCCTGGAGTTTGAAGCTTCGCTCCTCCAGCAAAAGCCCGGAACTCCAGACTTCTGGGTTTTTACCTCTGGGTTTCTGGGTTTGTCCCTCGGTCCTCCTCCTCCTCCTGCTCCTCTTGCTCCTGCTCTTGCTCCTGCATCTCACGAGGACGAGGAGGAGAAGGCACGTCGAGGACGGAGAGGACGAGGACGACGACAAGGACGAGACCCACGAAGACGAAAATAACGAGGGAGGCTGAAAAGGGACGGAGGGAAAGAAGCAAAGAACCGAGGCGAACCGAGAAGAAACAAAACAATGACACTGGCAAATGGAAAAGAGAGAAGATACATCGAAACGGAAGGAGGGCAAAACGGAACGGCAAGAAGGTAGAACGGAGAGGAAGAAGCGTATGGGAACAACGACTGAAGACAGAACGGAAAAACAAAAACATAAGACGGTAGCGGAATAGAGGGGGGGATACCAAAGACGAAACGAAACATCAATAACAACAAAACACTGACTACAAGCAGGAAGCAACAAACGGCAAACGGCAAGAGTGCAAATGGAGAGAGGGTTAAAACAACGGAGGAACAAATATAATGGAACGGGGGAATGCAACATTGTACGGACGGTTAGGGGTGAAACAAAACAGGGAAAATGTAACAGAAATGAAAGAAAGGAAGAAATAACGGCAAAACGGAAAGGAGGGAAGGTACAACGGAAAGGAGAGAGAACAACATGAAAAAGAGCATACAGAAATGGAGGAAACGTAAAACGTAAGAGGAGGAACAACAACATGACGAAACATACGGCAAACCTGACTGTAAGGATGGCAAAACGAAGCGGAGGGAGAAGAGCCCCTGCAAGGTAAAACGACACGGAAATATTGTAACACGGAACGGAGAAAACGGAAAAAAGGAACGGAAGAAAATACGTTAAACTGAACGGAACGACGAACAATCGTCACCCGCATCATCAGGACCACCAATACAATCAGCGTTGTCGTCGGCATCGTCACCACACCGTGACAATCATCATCACGAACCTCCGCAACACAATCAGCATCGCCATTGTCACAATCATCAGCATGGCCCTCATCAGCATCCTCATCGCCGCCGCCATCGCCATCGTCAACACCCGCGGCTCCATCGTCATCTTTGCCGTCGTCCTCAACGCCCTGCTTATCAATATCCTCATTATTGTCCTAACCACCAGCGTCATCGCCATCCGTTATCGTCTGAACCGCGGACATCATTGCCTCCTGCATATGCATCGGCATCATCATTGCTAGCATCATCATCATCCTCATTCTCATCATCATTATCATCCTCAGTATCATCAGCATCGTCATCATCATCATCATCATCATCGTCATCATCATCATCATCATCATCATCATCATCATCATCATCATCATCATCGTTATCCTCATGTTGCTAATCGGCGTGATCATCGCGTCGGCGCCATCATTGTCACACTCCATCGTCGTCATCGCCGTCATCGTCATCGTCATCATTGCCACCAGCGTCTCGTACTACCACCATACGCATCGTCCTCGCCACCACCTCCACCATCATCACCATCATCATCATCATCATCAACACCATCATACTCCGCATCACCATCTTCATCATAATCGTAATCATAATCACGTTGGTCACCCTGCCGACGGTCATCCTCATCATCATGAGCATCACCACGATCGCCACCGTAGTCATCACCATCTTGATGGAGGCCATCTCTGCCATCAACATCAACATCGACATCGTCAACATCGCCATCGCCACCGTCATCATCCGGACCTTCATCACCACCGTCATCATCGCCCTCATCTCGTCGCCGTCGTCGCCGCAACCGTCGTCAGCGCCAGCATGACCCGAATCAGTATAATCACCTTGATCGCCATCGCCAACCTGCCCATCATCATCAGCAGCAGTGGCATCGCCATCGTCATGTGTCGTCGGACCTCTAATCGGTGTCCAGGGCATCAATTCGGTGCACCACCCTCGCAAATTGTCATTCAATACTGGTCGTGCAGACGTGTCTACTCCAATCCTCATCACCCTACCCATCGTTGCCGTAATCGTCACCATCGGCATCGTGATCCTTATCGTACTCATCGTTGCCGCCATCATCGTCATCATCATCGGCATGGTCATCTACATTGTCGCCTTGATCCTTGGTCAACACCAACTTCATGGTCACCGAAACTGTTACCACCATGATCAGCATGATCACCATCCGCATCATCATCGTAGGTAACCGTCGTCATCTCGATCGCCGTCCTCATCAGCATCATCATCACTATCATCATCAACATCATCATCTTAAGTATCAGCACGATTATCATCGCAGCCGCCATGCTGTCGCCATCAACCCCATCGTCGTCGTGTAATCATCTACGTCGTCGCCCTCATCGTCGTCGGTGATTTCGCCGTCGCCATCGTGACCATCGTCATCATCACCAGCAGAATCAGACCACCACCACCATCATCGTCATCGCTATGGCTTCAGCATCATAACGATTATCATCACCATCACCACTATAGGCATCGTCACCACCTCATCGTCGTCGCAATCACACCAACCACCATTTTCATCAGCATCACCCTTGTCATTGCCACCGTCACCAGCACCATTCCATTAATCATCCTCATCGTTGCCGTCATCGTCAACGTCACGTTTGTCATCACCACCAACATCATCAGCACCATCATCGCCGACGTCGTACTCAACCTCATGATGATGACTGATGACCCTCATCACTATCGTCCTCGACGGCGCCGCCCTGCTCATCATCATCCGATCGCCATCGTCATCAACATATCGTCATAATCATTGCACTGTTCGGCGTATTTGTCATGATCATCGGTTTCAACATCATTATAATCAAGATCGCGCCGGCCCAAAACCAGCTTTACCCCGCAGAGCGGCTACAATCCCGACGAGAGGACGGGGGACAGCAGCGGGCGCAGGCCCAAGGAATCAAATAGAAGAAACCAGGACCTGCTACTCCATCATTTTCCACCGCAGCGCAGACTCCTGGAAAGGAGGGTCACCATCCCCGAATGGCTCAAGGAGGCTCGACGCGCGCCTACCTGCTCAGGCCCTGGCAGCGGCTCCAGCTGAGGCAGAAACCTAAGATGCGGACGGAAGAGAGGAGGACGAGGAGGAGGAGGAGGAGAAGGAGGAGCCAAGATGACGTCAGGGGCGGCCACGACCGTGGAGCAATACTTACTGCGACACGTATCCCATCGCGTCGGCCCCAAACATCCTTTTACCCCGCAGTGCGGCTGCAATCCCGACGAGAGGACTGGGGGCAGCAGCGGGCGCAAGCCCAAATAACAAAGTCGAAGAAGCCAGGACTTGCAACTCTATCAACCTCCACGGCAGTGCAGATTCCTGGAAAAGGAGAGTCACCATCCCCGACTGGCGCAAGGAGGCTGGGCACGAACCTACCTGCTCGTGCCCACACTTCCGAAATACCGTTTGGTGCGATCGACCGAGGACGGGAGAAGAGTGGAGCGAGGGCGGGGTGGGCCAACATTTTCCAAGATCTGCTTCGGGAGCCGCTGCGAAATTGACTCAGTTCGCTGCAACTGCTGGCGAAAAAGAAAATGCGATTGCGTAGCACACATGCCGGCTAGGAGTATCGCTAAACTGAAAGCCGGCTCGACCATCTTCCACGAACCTGGAGCTTACCAACATCGCCCTGAAAAAAAAAGGCGTCATGACTCGGGCCGGCGTGTCGACATGTGCGCTCGAGGACAGAGCGCCAGCTTGTCTATGCACTGGGCTCTGCGAAACTGCCGGCACATTCTGCCCCGTCTGACAGCTGCAGACCGGAGAGGGGGCCAGAAAGGGTGCGACGGGCGAGGACCTGGACAAGTTGCGCAACCCATTACCGATCGCGCGCACCTACGACCGAAGCATCAGACTGAAAATTATCCGCAGGCGTATCTTGCGAGGCAGGCGCGATGGTGACCGCGACTGGATCTTCCGCGCGGCGTGGCAAACAAACTCAATCGGCGGCGAGCTCAAAGGCCTCAGAAGGGCGCGCGTAGCAGTCCACGGCGATTCATGCGGCGGCGGCCGCGACCTTCCCGACGGGCCTGCGCTGGTGGAACCAAAAGTCTGCGCAGAGTCACGCAATCTCCAGCGGGAGCGAGTCCCTCGCCCTGTCAGGGCTGGCCCGGCCAATCCCATTGAGAGCTGCGCTCGCCAGAGGGGGGGCGCGGTCGGCGAGCGCGCGCGCGGCCCAGGGCGATGCGCTGCCCAGAAGACGGCGTGCCGCGCAGCACTGGTCTGGTCACCTCGCAAGAACAGCACATCCAGGTAGCTGCCCAACACCTCGCCGCAGTCCGCAGCCGAGGGGGCGGTCGGCCCGTGGAGTTCCGCCCAGGCCTGCACGCCAGGGAAGGCCTGGCGGTAATAAGCCGATGCCGCAGCCAGCCGCAAAACTGCCCGTCGGCGCGCGCCTGGCTCGCCTCCGCGATGCCGCGTCTTGGCGGCGGCGCGGCGCCGCCGCTCTCGCCGCTGCTCGCGGGGCTCGGCGACGGGCGGCAACGGCCTCGAGCTCGGATCGCCCCCCACCCCCACCACCGCCCGAGCAGGCACCTCGCGGGGCCTCCACGCGCCCCCGCTCGGCCGGCCGTCCGACCTCCCCCGCGGGCGCCAGACGTCGCCCCCAGCAGGGGTCGAGAGGGCCCCCCGCTCGCGCCCCCAGGCGCGCGCCGGGGCGGCATGCCCGAGAAGGTCCGCCAGAGCGCGGCAAAGCGCGGGGGGGGGCAAGCCGCAGCGTCGGCTGCGCGCCATTGGGGGCGCTCGCCTGGCAGGCACCTGGAGCCGGACGCGCGGCGCGCCGGGGCAAGGGCGCCGCCGCGCGATTGCCTCGGCACCGGGCCAGGTCGCGGCGACGGCC